CCCCGCCCCAACGACGTCGGTTTCCCATGTTTTCTTTCGTTTTCCGCGCCGGATCCGTACGCTGCCGCGCTGACGTAAAAACGACGTATGAGCATTAGGATGTTGCCAAATTTCCTCTCTGGAAATCTTTATTTTTGAATAAAGTTATGAATATTTTTCCTCGAAATTTTCAGGCTTTTTGAATCAAATTGCGAACAAATTTCCTCTGGGAAATCCGAGAAGAAATATTCACAGTTTGTTCTGAGAATTCGTGATTTGTATAAACAAATTTGGCAACGCCTGATGGCTTATACGGGGTTCTTACTTAACACGGCGGTGCGTTTCTATTTCTGATTTTTGGTCGTTATGAAATCGTTTTGAAATGATTAGGTGTCGTGATAATCTCGGGGAATGGTTCGTTAAAGAGACATGTGGTCGGGTTTTGGCCGTAGATCGTGGCTGGGGAAAAAAAGCGTCTTGGATTCAGAGTCCCCAGACTCTTGAAAATTTTGACAAGAAAAAATACTCTTGATCCAACCGGATTTTTGCTTGAATCGAGAGCCAAGCCTTTTAAACTAAGCGGATTTCCTTTAGATTCAATTAAAAATCCGAATGACTTAATACCACACTGAAAAAAATATTATGCTGTTTTAGCAACCAGGATGCCAAAGATGTGTCTGGTGATCCCAAGATGCCTTGACTACCGCCGCAGTTAACTTTACATCCTGTGAATGCAAATTCAATACCGTGGGCAATCAAGGCAGCATCTTAGGATCACCAGACACATGTTTGACATCCTAGGTGCTGAAACAGCACACCATTTTTTTTCAGTGCATTTTATCTTGCCAAATTTTCCAAGAGTCTAGACTCCGGATCCAAGATACTTTTTTCCCAGTGATCGCAGAAAAGAGAAGCGTGGATCTAGCCGTCTTCTCAGCTCCATTTGCCGCCAGCTAAAAAAATGTGTTTCGTTATCTTCTCATGTGAAGTAAAAAGTATTGGGTCTTCAACTTCATGAATGTATTTGAAGCCGAACCCAGGATAAATCCAGAATAAATATTACGACGCCTCTTCTTGGAACCTGATTCCAACAATCCCAAATCGAAGAGACGAAACTTCATCCTAACCTTGAAAAATTGTCACTCTCGAATTGAATGTCTACCAGAAGGATATCAGTCGTTTTTGACTGAAAACTTCACTAACTTTTCATCCGGGTACACACGAAAATCAGGAAAATTTTGCTCAGAAATCTCACTTTCGTACTCTCCTGACCTTAAATAAAAATTTTAAGTCATTTTTACGTTTCTTTATTCGAAACATCGACGTTTTGTGCTCCAACTTCAAACGACCGTAATTCTAGCTCAGAGAGCCCCTTTTAATTACACCTCGCCCCAAAGCGTCCGCACTACTATTCTTTTAATTAAAGTTTGAATTATAAAGGGCCGAAAGTTCCTTTCCCGCCGAACAGCACGGAGCTCGAATAAATCGCGGAAAATATCAAGTTTCAATTTCTCGAGCCCTTTTTTCAGGTTCCGGGAAATTCCCGCGAAACTTCCTGGAAAGGCGGTCGCGGCAAGAGGCAAGACGGGCTCCTTCCGGAGGAAAAGCAAGGATGATTATTCGGGATGGTGCGAAGTTATTACCGAAATAAGATTAACGACTTAATATTAATTGCATTGAATGAGGCTCCGCTCTGGGTTGGGTGGCGGGATTGGATTTTCAGCCGTGCTAATAGGGTCCTAATTTCCAGCCCAGCCCAACCGTACACTCTGCCGTGCTAAGGATAAACGTCGTATGAACCTTCAGGCGTTGCCAAATTTCCTTTGATAAAACACTAATTTTCAAGAAAATTTGTGAATATTTTTCTTCCAATTTCTCAGATAATTTTGTTTGTAATTTGATCTAAAACTTCTGAAAATTTCAAGGAAAAATATTCATGACTAACCTCAAAAATGAACATTTGATCTAAGGAAATTTGGCAACTCTCGAATGTTCATACGGCGTTCTTCCTTAGTACGGCTGCACTGCCCCTCCACTACTTTGCCGTCCTAAGGAAGGACGCCGTATGATCCATCAGGCGTTGCCTGATTTCCTTCGGAAACAATGGATTTTCAAGAAAATTTTTGATATTTGTCCTCGAATTTTTTTGGAGGATTTCGTTGGCAATTTTATCTAAAAAGTCTGAAAATGTTTAGGAAAAATATTCATAATTTTCTTCAAAAAATCATATTTTCTGAGCGATTACCTATTTCTGGTGCGTAACTGTCAGAAAGCGTGACCCTAGAGCCTAGAACCATCCTTAATATTTGTTGAAATCATTATTACTGCACTATAAGTCCACTTAAAATACACGCGGTTTCCACTCAATCGAAATGAGGTTTATCTATCCAGAGACGACTTTTATCCTTTTTTTGCAGGTATCGAAAAAAATATCCATCCGATTTCTGTCAAAGTGAAAACTGAAGAGAAAAAAAAAATCATGTGGTCCATAAAATTATACGCAAAATATCTACCTGATATTTTTTTTGGAGCTCTGTTCTTTGTCATCGTCCCGCCCGGAGCGCGGATACGCAACTTTGAAATCACTTCTCAAAGTCAACGATTTCGTACATTTCTCGAAGAATCTGTAAAAAATCAAACAAAATTGTTGAAAATTAGTTATTGAACGTAGAGGCAGCACTGGAAAAAAACACATTGGATCTAGCGGCCAGACTCTTGAAAACATTGACAAGAAAAAATACTCTTGATTCAATCAGATTTTATGCTTAAATCAAAAGAAAGGAAAGTAGGGGTGGGTCGAAAAATCCCAAATTTGGCTTTACGTATTTTATAAACGGCCCCAAAAACCTTTGCATTGTCACAGTGTAAAGCGCATAAACGGGCGTATTTAAATATAACCGAGACAAGTGTTCATATTCCAAAGCTACATTTTAATAATAATAGGATTCGACCGTTTATGGATGAGAGACAAGGTTTTACGACAGAAGATAAAAAGTCTCGCTTTTTTTATTACAGACCTTTAAGTCCCTCAATAGGAAAAGTTTCCCTTGTTCCCGGAGTACTTTCGTCCCCCGGTCACGTAAGAGCGTGACTTTATTTTTACGTGAGCCCCGAATTGCACGGAGCTTTACGGACGAGAGAGCTCATCTGAAAGCTCAATAACGTCCTTACGACAGTGAGTCCACGGTAAGTGGTAGCGGAATATTATCTCCGTTTCAGTCGTAATATTAAACTTCAGGCGAACTTTCAGTTCGTTCCTCCACTCCGGAGCAGTAATTTTACCGTACACCTACAACGGTTAATAGAATCCCGGTGAATAACTCTTAGAATTTCGTCAATTTACTTAACTTATCGGATCCTCGAGTGCCCCGATGGAGATTGATGGGGTGAGCGAATTGTCTGAAAACATTGGAAACTTTGATTATATAAATGCACTAGTGGCGATAGAAATAAACTGTAACATTCCGAATGCTCTCCAATTGGCTGATCGGATGTGCACCCAGAGAAAGAAATAATCGTTGTGCATGGATTCCGCGTGCTACTTACGTTTCCAATACTACCGTGCTAAGGAATAACACCGTATGAACATTCGAGAGTTGCCAGATTTCCTTCGATAAATTGTTTATTTTTGAGGAAAATTGTGAATATTTTTCCTCGAAATTTTCAGGCACTCTAGATCAAATTACAAACCAAATTATCAGAGCAATTGGCAGAAAAATATTTATAGATTTTCCTGAAAATTAGTGATTTGCCAGAGAAAATTTGGCAATGCCTGAAGGTTCATACGGCGTTTTTACCTAGCACGGTAGAATGGGCCTGTTGCAAACTTTTTCTGGAGCAAAAATAATAGTTGTTTCTTACAGAAAATGTCTCAAAAATCACGATGAGCGCATTAGCAAAGTCTGAAATGCACTCCTAACTTCACAATCTGCGTAAGAAATTTGCGGTTTTTTTTAGCTTCTCGCTTCCACGACGGCACTACGGCGCAGATGAACATTTTGTTAGAGAAGTCGTTCCATCCAACAAGTGACTATTGTGAAGTTAGGAGATCATTTCAGACTTTGCTAATGCGCTCGACGTTTTTTGAGACATTTTCGATTAGGACCAACTTTTATTTTTGCTCCGGCAAAAGTTCGCAACAGGCCCAATGGATCGACGTTAACAGAAACGCACCTAGCTGCATTTTAGGGGATGCAATGAGTTGAAAGTAAAGGTTTTGAATCCAACATGCCGCACATTTTCTCCTGTCGAAAATCATCGTTTTGCCTATGGCTTATCGTGATTTTAAAGCCATCTGCTGTTACCAACAAATCTTCTTTTTCAGGGTGTCAAGCATCAGAAAAAACCGGAAAACCCGGAAAATATCAGGAATTTTGGTCGATCAGGAAAATATCAGGAAAATCCGGGACTCCGGGAGATTGGACGTTTCATCAGGAATTCTTCTTACGCGAATCTCCTCAGCGGAGAAAGTCTTACTGCTTTTTGCCTACCGTGCCAGGAGTCGAGAAAAATCAGGAAAATATCAGGAATTTTCGAAGTGAAAAAATCACGAAGTTTTTATAAAATATCAGGAAAAATCAGTAAAATGTCAGGATTTTTCAAAATTAAAAAATACTAGACACCCTGTTTTTACCTCAGCTGAAGTTTACAACAGGCCTATTAGGTGAGGCCTGGAATGCACTATGATCAATGTAAGATCATCCTTCGCTTCATCCAGAATCACGTACCTCACAAGATCAGTTTTTATTTTTTTAATCTACGCATTCATTTTGCTCTGAGCGTAATACTCTCATGATGAATTTTGCTATATTGACCAACGAACTTCTCCTCGCTAACCGAAGATGTTCTCCATCTAGGTATTTGGCGAGGTGATAGAAATACAGGTCGGCGAAAACGAAGCGAAATATTAATTAAATTCTTCCGTTTAATATTCCCGCGGTGATCGCATTTACGCATGTTTGCCAGATTGTCTCGTCTGTTTGGCATTATTGATGGCACGTTTCACCATCGTCCCTCATAGAGAGACATTTCAACACAAAATTTTGGTTAATACAGGAAGTGAAACACAAAATAACCCTAGCCTTGGGTTGAAAATTTCGAAAGAAAATGCCAGCTAGTTTTCTTGAAGAAATTCGATAAGAAATGAGTGGTGACTTTGAATACCAGCGTCGCAATCGGAGGAATACATTTTCCCAGTCTCACCATTGTTTTCTGCGCTAAACTCACCGCAAACTGTACCAATATCAACACAAAATTTGTGTTTGTTTGTGTTCCACCTTCTATATTAAACAAAAGTATCACTGAAAAAAAAAGTTCGGTGAATCCGAACTAGTTAGGATCATATGGAACCACGATTTTGTTCGGTACACACGACCGAATTATTAGGTCTGCTCAGCCGAACTGTTCGGTCCACTGAACCGAACTGTAAGAATTTATTATGGTTCGGTCGCACAAACCGAACAATGCAGTTGAACAGACCGAATAATTCGGTTGTGTGTACCGAACAAAAGCTGGTTCCATATGATCCTAACTAGTTCAGATTTACCGAACTTTTTATTTCAGTGATAACACAAGAACCCAAATATTTTTATGAGAGTAGTAGTTCGATTGTGTTCAAGTCAAATTATCTCCAGGAGGTCAATTGTATCCAGGATGTCAGTTGTGTCCAACTGCGTTTCTAAAATGAGCCAGAAACAGTAGTGGTATAAGATACTGTCCATTAATAAGTAGCGAATAAAAATGAAGAATTTTCTATAGTTGTGGCAACACAGGAAGCGGGCCATGGAGCGTCCCCGAGAGCCATCCAGCTTTAGCGCGTGTAATTAAAAAATGAGAGAAATATTCCCGAGTCCCAACCCCAGGAACACTGCTACTACGTCTTGTACCTGTATTAAATTCCTGCCTGCCTCAGTCGCTTGACCCCTGACCTCGCAATCTCCTCGCGTTCGATGTTGCTGGCTACGTAGGCGGATCCAGCGAATTGGCAACATCGTTTTTCTCCATTTAACTGCATGGGAATATATCGATTCTTGGAGGGGCCAGGTGCCGGCTAATCGCGGACAGAGAAAGGTTAGCTATTTTGAAGTGCTATTTCAACAGAGCTAGTGAATCATAAAATTGGAATGATCTTCCTTTTCACTCTAAGTATGTAAGCAATTTTTTGATGTGAACTCTAAACTGTTTCAAGTTCGCTGTACAGTTTTCTTTCAATATAATATTTTATAACTTATTTGTTTTTGTTTGATTTCAGGTGAGTGATGATTTCTGTGACTGAATTTTGATTTTGGAATAGTAAAGCTGGTTTAATGTGAGTACTTTCCTTTTTATTCCCGCTTGAGTTTGAATGAGCATAAATCCCCCTTTTTGATGAAAGGTCAGTCGTGCGTTTTTTACTCTTACATGCTTTGCCCTGCTGAGGCGGGGCCGCCTGAAAAGTGGGCCGCGTCTAGCAAAAAGGAACCAAGCCATATCAGCTATCGCCAAATTGAACCGAGCAATTTTACTTTTTACACAAGAACGTTTGTACGGATTCCTTTGAAAATTGTGAAGAATTTGCTTCGCACTATGCAGAAAATTCACTGAAATTTTCGCATAAATCCGCACAACCGTTTTCATGTAAAAAATTGAATGGCCAAATTGAATGGACCACTAGACAAGGTACGACTTTAAGCATTCTGATACATGTATCTTAACCTGAATTTCACGTAGAACACGATTCGCGCAACGAAAATTACTGAAACCAACTCCTAGCGGAGATATTCACATTGTTATTTCACATTGGCTACGAGGAATTTGAACTGCCCGCTCACAAAAAACTCAAAGCTCTACGTGAGTCAAATCGCGCACTACAACGGTTTGAGCAAGCTTCTCAATCGAGCAATGTTCATTTCCCACCATGTGTTGTTCAAACTATAAGCTATTTGCAATAGCTGAGCCAAAGCGTCAAGATCGAGGTTGCTAGATTTTTATATCGCAGAGACTGTCATGATAACGTTTAGTGCTCGATGTGAATCACGTAGAGCATTGAGTTTTCATGAGCGGATGGTTTGAATTCACGCATTAAGAATCATTAAATATCTTCGTAGGGTATTGATTTCGGTAATTTCCGTTGTGCGCATTGTGTTTTACGTGAAATTTTGGTGAAGACACATGTATCAGAATGCTGAAATTCGTACCTTGTTTAGTGGTTCATTTGGCATTAGCTGATGTGGCTTGGTTCCTTTCTGCTTAACGCAGTCCAAATAATGAGCCATACTCCCGGGACATTGCGGAAGGGAATATCGCCACAATCTGTTATGCTTACGTTACTCATCTATGTTGTTAAGTCATTCAACTCGGCAAGTAGAAAGTTTACCTACGCGAGTAACACGCAGTGACCTAAAGGAAGAACATAACGTCAGTAGCAAGACGAGTAACGCAAGCGTAGCAGACCATGACAATTTTATTCCGGCTCGGTGTGTCATAGGTCGGCTAGAGGCAGATCCAGCAATTCGGTAACACCGGATTCCCACCATTAAAACCGTAAAAAAAATATATTTTTCAAAAACTCAAAGATGAGGACGTCAGAGGAAAACACGAAAGAAGCTTTCACCATTTCCCTCTGCTATCCTCGTCCATCAAAACTCTGTGCGC